ACAATTGTATTATAAAATACACGGTTCTGTTGCGCAATCTAAAAATTTGCTATTTACTGTAAATATTAACTATCGAAAATAAAAAAGTATCCTAAAATTTCTAAACAGGAGCGTATACAAACTTAACACCGGAGTAAAAATTATTTGAAGGTGGTGAAAATGATCAATTTATAATTTTTATTAGAAAAATTAAATTTCTAAAAATTAAATAATTAAAAACAGTGCAAGATTTAAACGATTCCTCACGAAATGTATATAAGTAAAAGCTCGTATAATTTATTGTATTAGAAAGTATTTTAATTTTTTTCACTTTGTTAATGTCTTTGATGGAAATTTTATGCGTTAAATTATAATTTTAATTGCTACTTGCACAACGTATTTACGATAAAGCATCCGCGAATTACGTGAATTCACTTCAAACACTACGCCAGAAGCTAATTAAACGTTTAACAATAGAACACACATTAATCGCCATTGGACGTAGAAATTTTCAATTCTCATTTTCATGATTACTATTAATACCGCAAAGAGGATTCGATTGTCGATGATACACACTAGACGGGAAAACAGAAAAGGAATATTTCGTTTCGTGTAAATCACTTGAGCATAATTTACGTCATATCTCGGGGAATAATACATTTTTAATGTTTGCAGATATCTTAAATCTATTATTGTGTCATTTCAGGGAAACGTGCGTCATTAAGTACTCAAACACGTATGTTAGTATTGGCTAAATCTGATTATATAAAGAGTTACTTCTCATGGGTGTTTCAGTCGTTTCGAGACTGGAAGGAATCCGTATTTTTCTTTCTCTCTCTCTCTCTCTCTCTCAAAATTCCTCCATTAAATAAACGTAAGACATGTTTCTTAAAGCAAGAACTATACTTCTCTGTTAAAATTCTTGCATCTCGCTTAATTCTGCTACTCTACTTTCAATCGTTTTCGATTCGAGAATTTTCTTTAAACAAACGTATACAAGAAGTTTTCATTGTTATTTTATTTTTAGCTCCCTTTTTTATTTACTGTAATGGGAGAAAAATCTAAATACTATAATTGAAGGATCAGGTAGCGTGGTTAAAATAACTCGAGAGAACTTTTCTTTCCTCTCGAGTGAAAATTTCAAATATTTTCGTTGCAATGATGTTGGCAAATTGTACGAATTAATTGAAATATTGAAATTTTGGAATTATTTCAATTATTTTATGATGGTTTCTGGCCATTCTCAACGTTTCTGTACGTTTCTAGTAAAATTGAAGGATTCGAGTGGAATTTAATTGCAAATTATTACATATATAAATATTAATAATTTATATATTATTATATGATACATGTCTTAGTACTTATTATATTATATAATATCTAGTATTTATTAGTGCTGAGTGTATATTTATCCTGGATATTTATCTAGATCTTTAAAAATATATTATTAATCTTGTACAATGTGAGAAAAGAAAGGCAGATATGATAAAGCAATATTTACAGACTATGTTAGTTAATGAAAGCAAAGGGAGAAAATACAAACTACTAGTATGCGTAATGCATTGAATTTATTCTTTACTCTTCAATTTTACTAGAAACTTAAGACGTTGAAAATTGCGAGTGATTCTAACTCAGTGACCGGAAGTTGTGACAGAGTGTATAAAAATTTCTATAACAATAGATTAAAAAAAAAATAATAACAACAGACAAGTAATTTTCACAGGCAAGTCGAACGTGACGCAAATTTTATCACTTAAATTATTAACATTACAAGGGATATGAGTATGGAACGATATGAATCATTTTTCACGAACAGATAACGAAATTCATACATCGCACGAATTTCTCGAAGTAGGACGCATATCTAAAAACCGTCACGGGGATACGAATCGAAAGCTTCATTGTCCAGATATCTTGGGAAGAGTGATTATTTAACATCGAACACCTGTCGACGTACCTGAATTAAGCTGACTTTGTGTCTTCGCGATGGCCTTGTAAATATCGAGGCGTTTCACAAAGCAGCTCGATAAAAGCAAGCCGCGGTTACTTTTTACTGAGATAAAATAAGGGTCGGTCGCTCGAGACAATCGACCCTGATCGCCATTCGATCGTAGAATGAATATTAACGTGGCACACACAAACGTTATATGAACACGATTAACAAACCCCTTGCCTCTCCCTCTGTTACAGATCGACAAAATGCCACTGTCGGAGTTCCGTAAAAAGAAGTTACTCTACGTTTTCAACACCTTTTTCGGTGAGTAAACAACAGTAGTTTCACAGTGCCTGCTTTAAGAAGAGCTTTGATCTTTCATAACGCATGCAACTTGAAAAATACATCTCACCAGTACTTTCGCCACTATCGTTGAACCAATGTATTAACATCGGATCGTTTATATATCATCAATCTATTTGTAAGAGCTATACTCTCGCTCGAAAGTTTTGAAATGTTTTTTATTTGGAATTTCAAGTTATTAATTATTAATCATTGTAATGACATTAATACGAGGCAAGGTGGTTTATCTTTAAAGAACTAACAACATCCCTTTCGACACTCTGTAAAGTTTGTACAAGATGTATACAAAACAAGTCACAGAAGTATTTGTGCTTTCGCGATTATTAAATTTAAGCGATTCATACTTTTTAACGATGTACAAAGTGATAGTACAAAGTAGTAGTTCTTGAGTGCAAAATCAAAGTTAAAATATTTATTGATGCAGTAAATTGACGTAATAAATATTTCCTCGACAGAAATTTTGGATGCCAAGATACATGAGAGAACAAAGTTGATCTTCATATGTCAACCAAAATTATCATGCAAATAAAGTCTGATGTATTTTCTCTCTTATCATAAATAACAATATGATTTTCAGGTAACCTGTTCCGTTTTGATTGATGTACTCTTCTATTCGTTGTAATACGAATATGGAAATTTTTAAAATTCTTAAAAATTAAATTGAATAATTGCACAAATATTTCTGCGATCCTCCAGTTGAAAAGCTTTCTACTTTAACATTCGACATTTATCATAAATAATAAAATTTTTAAATATATTGTATATAAATACAACTGAATTATAATATAATTTTACATGATTATAAAATATGATAATTGTGCGTATATATAATTGCACGTATTGTACATTGTGTATATATATTATGTATATAATAATACAATTATAATTGTAAAATTTTTAAACTGCGCGTACATCTTACAACACAATTGTCAATATATTAACACGCTGTAAATTCTTTATTGCTTTGACAATGGAAAAAAATTGAATAACAAACGGTTATCCAATTTTTTCACTGTCAAAACAAACACGATACTGGTTTTAAAACTTTCGAGCAAATGCGTACGAACGATAAAGCTCAATCAGCCAGCTCGTTAAATCTCAAAGCGATTTATTTTAAAAACTCACGATTAAAATCCATTTCATTTACATTCCTCGCTGGTGATCACCATCTCTGGCACAATCAATACGTTCCACATTTCTTCAACATCAGAGCGATAATTGGATTTTTTCGCCCAAAGCAGAAACAGTGAAAAAAAAAGAGAGAGAGAAAAAGAGAGGGTAAAGATCCGTTTAAACGAGTTCATTCCACGCATTCCTCGTTCGGAACGTTTTTTTGTATTTTTTTTTTTTTTTTCCAAACACGACCGAGTAATCTGATTTCACCTCGATCATCTCGCATCCCTAATTGTCCCGAGAAAATCTCACCGTCAGTTTATCAAGACGAAAGCGTTCGCCAACTGGTTGATGTAACTCGAGTCTTCTCCCTTCAAGATACATCCTCCAGTTGCCTGGTAACGAAATAACGAAAACCGTTTGTAGTCCCCGGGACCTTGACGCGATTTCTCGTATCACTTACACGAATCGAGCCGAATAGCTTGGCTTTAACAATCTTCTTCCATTCCCTTTCGCGGCCCCTTTTCGCAGCTATCACCGGTGAGCAACGCGACCATCCCGTGGATACTTCCAGCGAGATGAAATACGGCCCGGAAAGGTGTGGGGGGTCGAAAGGAGAGGAAAAGTGGACGACGTATCCTCTCGAGGGTATTTTTGGGGGCTAGGAACGGAATGAAGGCTGTACCGGGGCGTTTTGTTCGGTCTCTCTATGGTACCTATGTGCTGGGCAAAAGTGAGTCAGCCTGGACATCTATTTATGGTATGAACAGCAGCAGATAAACAATGGACGCGGTTAAGGGGGATGCCTTGTCGCGTTGAAATTACACGTTCACTGTATACGCCTATCGTCGAGGTG